GCACAAACCCACAACGCCTGGCGGAAGGCCGCCTTGGAGGAGTTTTCCGCTTCCCCTTCCCTCGCCTCGTGGCGAGACGACGCGAAGGACGACGCAGTCTCCCCGTTCCGCCGGGAGGCGGCTCGGCCCTATGCCGCGCGGGCGGCCGGGGTGCACGCGATACTGACCTTCTCCCATCATTTTCAGCGCCTTCAGGCGATCTTGTCGGTTGTGTTTCTTCGCCTGGGGTCTCCCTGCCCCTTCGACGACGGGGGCGGGTCCTGTTCGCCACGAATGGCGGACTCCAACGGCTGCGGGACGGCAGCCCGGGGTGGGCGAACGAACCGCATCAACACCCTATGCCGCCGCCTCGTCGGCGCGCTTCTGCAGGCGAATCAACCGTGGATCAGCGCGGTGCTGGAGGACATCGTCGACTTCACGATTGGCCGGGAAGGGATGGATTTGCTCTGGTCCATGCCGTTCACCGAGGCCTTCGCCTCGTCGGGTCCTGCCGCGGGGGGGGAATCCGAGGCCCCCGCGCCGCCCACCCCCGATCCCTCTGGCGGGCCTTCTTTTCCCCACGCCCTCAGCCTCGAGCGCGTTTCGGACGTCTACGGCATGATCGAAGAGTGCGGCGCGGCCGACCTCCTCGCGGGCCTCCTGCAGGCGGTTTCGCGATGTTGCGCGGCCCACGGCCAGCGCGTCGCCGCGACGTCCGTGGGGGCCCTACTTCAGCCCCTGCCGGAGGCCTTTTTTCCCCCTTCCCCGGGCGGGGAGGGGGGAAAAAGCCCCGGCCGCGCTCGACCGCCGAGCGCGTCGGCAGCGCGCAGGCGACTCAGGCGCTTCGCGAGGCCCTCAAGGGCTACCGCCGCGTGCGCGCCGCGCTGGTCTTTTTCAACACGGGGACGACGCATTCCCTCGCGGCCCTCTCCCCGCACGGGCGGGGGATGCTGCTCAAAGGCCTCCGGGCCTTCACGGAGGGCCTCGGCGCCGGCCCCGCCGCCCTGCACTTCGCCGAGCGCTGGGCCGTCCCGATGTGGCTGCAGCTCTGCGACGAAGCGAGCCGGGCGAGGGGCCGGGCCGCGGGGAGAACTGCGGCGCCGGTGGAGAACACCGCCGGGGCGGGGCTGTGCGGCGTGGAGGCCGGCCGCGTCGCCCCGGGCTCG